CTGCCGCTGCCCCTCGGTTCTCCATCTGTAACCTGGTAGCACCTGCCACGTGGAGGCGCCTGCAGATGAAATCCAACCAGTGGCCTGGCTGTTCCCACCGGGGGCCGCCCTGGGGCCAGGGCTCCGTCCACCCAGAGCCACCACCCGCTCATCCCACCAAAGCCCCCGTGGAGTCGGCACAGAAGCCGAAGCACAGAACCTGGCCGGGTCCCCGAGGGGTGGAGGGCGGGGCTGTGGGAGACGCAGAGGCCTGAGGAGGGAGGGAGGTGGGAGCCATAGATGGTTCCAGAGGAGGCGGCTCCGGGCAGAGGAAGAGCAGTGAGCCCCGCGCCCTGTCCCAGCTGCAAGGCCGTCCCCACAGCAGGGCCCTGGTTCTGTCACAGGCGCCAGTCCTGGCGGCTTAAAAAACCTCGGGAATAATTCTCTCCAGGCCCCCAGCCTGGGAGCCCGAAACCTGGGTGTGGGCAGGGCCGGCCCCTCGCGGGCTCTGGGAGGACCCTCCTGCCTCCTGGGCTCTGGGTGGCGGCGCCCCTGGCGCTCCTCCTAGACCTGCTGCTGCGGCCTCTGCTCTGTCCGCCATCGCGCCCCTCCTGTCTGCGTCTCTGTGCTGCTCCCTGCGAACAGGCTCCCCTTAGGAGGACGCTGGTCACGGGAGGCCCGGCTCCTCCGCGATGGCCTCCCTTTAGCGCCATCACACGCACAGATTTCCTAAGAAGGTTCATCCTGAGGTCCCGGGTGGGCTCGATGGGGGACCTTCGGGGAGACATGACAGCGGTGAAACCCCTGGAAAAATAGCTCCCTTTTTAAAAGAAATGGATTTGTATTGATGTCAGAGAGGAGGGGAGAGGGAGAGAAACGGCAATGATGAGGGAGCAGGAGGAGCGCCGCTGGGGAGGAGGGAGAAAAGGTAGGTGCTGCCTCCTTTCTCCCTCCTCCCCAGAGGCGAGGGAGCAGCCCCCTCTCGTATTTCTTGCTGCGAGTTGCACCACCAGCTCTCCCTCTGGCCGTGCTCCCCCCGCCCCGCCCCCCACCCGTCTCTGTTGCTTTCCCGCTGGTCTTTGCCCGCCTGCGCCAGCTGCGCCAGCCTCAGGTGCGGCGGCTTTGCCCTGCTGAGCCCCGCACGGCTCGCTCCTGCGAGGCCAGAAAATAAATGGAACGAATGGTTTCCAGCTGGTGTAACAGTTTCCCGGGATGAGGTCAGAATCTCTGTAGGGACACACGTCATCCAGGCCCAGGAAAGGGCCACAGTGCGGGCGTTGGTGGAGTTACTGGGCGCGGGAAGAATGGAGAAAAGTGAGCCCTGTGGTCGGAGACCGAGCCCCGACCTGCCCCGACCTGCCCCCCCTCTGTCCCCCCGACCCCCGTCCTGTGCACCTCGTCCGCCTGGCTGGTCGGGTCACAGGGCTGACCCTCTCCAGGCGGGAGCAGAGCCCTATCACAGCCGCCTGTGCACGTGGAGGCGGGAAAAACGTCCGCGGGCCCCAGTCCAGGTGTCCGTCCCTGGAGCCGGCCCGGCCCTGGGGTGGGACCTGCAGGGCGTGTCCCTCGGTGCCTGGCTTCCTTCACTCGACCGTGTCCTCCAGGGCCACCGCATTGTGTCAGGGTTTCCTTCCCTTAGAGAACAAGATGTTATTGATGTCAGAGAGGAAGGCAGAGGGAGAGAGAGATGGAAACATCCTATATAATAAAAGCCCAGCGACCGGATGGCGGAAGACCAGACGACTGGTCGACCGGTCGCTATGACACACACTGACCACCAGGGGCAGATGCTCAACACAGGAGCCGCCCCTGGGGGTCAGTGCGCTCCCACAGAGGGAGCAGCCGCTCAGAGGGCGGGTCCACAGCCGCTGGGCTCACGCCCCCCACCAGTGCACGAACCCCGTGCACCGGGCCTCTAGTCAGTGATGGAGAGAATCATGGATCGGCTGCTTCTTGCACGCCTCACACATGGGATCGAGCCTGCAACCCGGGCCTGTGCCCAGACCGGGAGTTGAACCGTGGCCTCCTGAGCCACGCTGCTGGGCAGGAATCCCTTCCCTTTTAAGCCTGAATAACGCCCCCGTGTGGATGGACCACATTGGTTTTTCCATCCGTCCTCGAGGGACACCGTGCTGTGCCCACATCTGGCTGCTACGAACATGGGTTTGCAAATGTCCTTTCGAGACCTGCTGACGGTTCTCTGGGTGCCGCCCAGGGCGCACTGCTGGTCACATGGACTCTGCTTTTTGGAGGAACCGCCCTGATGTCAGTGGGTGAGGGGGGGGGTGGAGGCACATTTGGGGGTGGACATTATATTTGCTGTGATAAGGCTGTGCCTGGGGCCTGGGGGTGGGCATGGTGGTGGCCTGGGGGTGGGCACGGTGGTGGCCTGGGGTGTGGGCACAGTGGTGGCCTGGGGTGTGGGAAAGGTGGTGGCCTGGGAAGGAACTGGGTGATGATTTCTGTGGGGACGGAGCCCCCACAGGGGAAAGGTATGCCTCCTGGACAGGCCGTACCCATGACGGCACCTGCTCGGGGCCCTGGCGCTGGGGGGACGGGCGCTCAGGAACCCATGCG